CAGTCCTACCATCCCTCCCACCTGCCAAGCTGCCGTTAGAATTTCCAGAGGCTGAAAGGAGCAGTTGGAGGAAAGTGTCCAGAGGCTATAGAGGATAAGATGGGGGATATACTGAAGTATTTCCTCTTTTTATAAACGTCAAACGCTGGTTCTGAGTGTCTGATCATCATACGACTTACTTTAAATCAACCCCACTTTGCAGCTTCGTGTTTGATGGGTGTGGTGATGTTAAAATATTTCTGCAAATTCTTAGACCCTCTTATCGAGTGTTGGAATTTATGTCCAACCTTAGTGACTCACTAATAGAATGTGGCAGAAGTGGCACTGTGCACTGTCTGAGCCTCCATCGGAAAATGCCATGCAGCTCCCACGGGGTTCTCTGCAGGGAAACCAGCCACCTGAGACCATCAGGTGTTCTGGTCGGCAGCTGAGCTGAGCCACCAGCTGACATCCAGCATTAACTGCCAGCCTTGTGAGTGTGCCATCTTGGATGTCCAGCCCAGTTGAGCTTTCAAATGGCTGCAGATCCAGCTGACAACTGACTGCAGCAGCATGAGAGGCCCCAACTGAGGGCTGACCCACAAAACTGTGAACAAAATAAAACGTTGTTTTAAGTTACTAAGTTGTGGAGTGATTTGTTACACAGCAATAGTAACCTGAACAATGGGCCGCTGGACTCTTAATTCTTCATCTGGGTGTCACAGGGCAGAGCACCCCCATCCCCACCCCAAGCAAGAGGAGTGCTGCGGACACAAAGCAACATAGTCCAGATGAGGAGCTTCCTCAGAAACAAGTTGAGTTTTTTTCCATAAGGGCACTCTAGGAGCCTATAGCTAATTGGTTATGGTCTTCATTATTTTTCTTCAGACTTCACATTCCTACCCTCCAAGCCCAGCCCAGCCCCCTACCTCCATCAAATTTTTCTTTGAGATTTTCCTTTTGGCCACATTGTATTTGGTTTTAGACTAACCAAATTCTGATTTTTTTATTGGCCATAGTTAATGGTGCTCAATTTTTAAAATTTGGTTGTTTTTGGTGAGGAAGATTGTCCCTCTATTTTGTATATGGGACACTGCCACAGCATGGCTTGATGAGTAGTGTGTAGATCCATACCCAGGATCCGAACCTGCGAACCTGGGGCTGCCAAAGTGGAGCACGCTAACTTAACCACTACGCCACCGGCCTGGCCCCATCAATTTTTTACTTTTAAGAAAATTTTTAGGTTTCTTTTTTTATTGAGATCACATTGCTCAGCCTGGTTTTATATAACATTATATAGATTTCAGATGTACGTCATTATATTTCAACTTCTGTATAGAGAGTCTACTGTGTTCACCACCAAGTCTAGTTGCCATCTGTCACCTACACATGTACCCCTTATTTTGCCCTCCCTCCCAAGAGTGCTCAATTTTTTCAGTGTTTTTGCCCATTAGGTAAGTGCAAGTTATGCACTATAGTTAAGGCCTGGAGGGTTCTGAACTGTGGAATTTTCAGTTTTCCAAGCACTGAAACGTAACTATACTGTATATGATGTATGTGGTACCATATACATTGTGCTTTTATTGACTTAACACCATTCGTTGAAAAAATATTGAGCGTCTATCACGTATAGGTACTATTGTAGGTTCTTGAAAAAACAGTGAACAAAACAAAGGTCTCTGCTTTCATGGAGTTCATAGTCTTGCAGAGGGAGACAGACAGTAAATGATACACCTAATAAATAGGTCAATTATACAGTATGTTAGAAGGTAACAGATGCTATGGAGAAAAGAAAAAGAGCAGGTTGTCAGTTTCCCAACCTAGGTGTGTGAGTTAACTAGAATTCCTCTGTATCTTTGCTGCGCCGACTTTGGAACCATTTTATTTTTGACATCTGGATTCATGAGGGTGCCAGATGAGGTGTTAATTAGGAATGCCTGATACATTTTTACATCCTGCTAGAATTCTATTATATGGAGATATTCATTAGAAGGAGGAAATTGGTGAAATGTGGAAATGTTAGCAGCGTAGTTAGTGCTGCATAAATGGCTCTGCCTGCTGGAATGTTCAGGCCTAGGGAAGGTGCGGGGGTGGGGAACTATTCAGGAATAGTTATCAACCGAGAAGAGGGGGCTGCAGACATTTTATACCCCCAGTGTGGAATCGCCATTCCAAATATCCCATTTTAGATGAACGAAGGGTCCACGGATACCATCATCGTGACTAAGTGGTAGCACACTGTTTGGCCTGTAGGGGGCGTGCAAGACTCCAACTGCTCCAGGCTGCCTCAGGGTTTTTTAATCTTGGTTTCCCATTTCCAATTACAATTTAAATTAAATGGAAGCTTGTTCACCTTCAGTCACTTTCTGGTTTCCTTAAATGGTGCAGAACTTATGGAGGCACACACTCTCAGGGTCCTGCACGTGCAGGATGGATACTTAGCATGACCTTGAGTCCTTAAATTTTCTGCTCTCAGAGCCTCACTAATCCCAATGCTGAGTCACATTACCCTAATCCTTTTAGTATTTACCATCATCTGAAACTATCGTCTATATTTATTTACCAAGGTATTGTTATTTACCTTTCCCATTGGACAATAAGCTCAGTGAAAATATAAACTCTTTGTCAAAGGCAGGGACTGCTTATCCAGCAGGATTAGGAGGCACAGCACTTTTAGGTCCAGGGTACTTAGGGGCCCGCAAAAACGTTTTCATCGCAACTTCTAAAATCAGAAGAAAAAAGTGAATATAATAAAAATGAATAAATAATCATGGATCTAGCCTGGATTATATTTGTCTTTATACCAATGTAGCCATAAAATATAATATTTAAAGTATTTTTGGGGGGAAAGGGAACCACGATGGCAAAGTGGCCTGGAGCCCACAGAAGTCATAATGCAGCCCAGCTGGGACTGTGCCTGGCACAAGGCAGGTGCTGGGGAAATCACTGTCACATGAATGAGCCTGTGAAAGGAACGTTCAACCAAGATAGAAATTGGGAGTTGAGTCAAGAGAAGTTGGAAACAGAGTTTTACCACTGAAGGTCTCCCATTTCTAAGGATTGTTACTTCTAATTTTAATTTTTAATCTAGATTGAAAGAAATGCCAAAGACTCTAATCCGTCCCACGTTCCTGGATGGGCTTTACAACCCGCTGTCTATGTGATTGACAAACACCGCAAGGACACTCTGCATAGACCAGCCAGCGTTCTTGCTGAAATGGAAGCCCATTTTTTTTCTGCCTTTAAAGAAAATAAGTGGTTATTGTTCTGCCTTCAGTGGCCTTTCATTTATCTAAAAAGTTGCCTACTGTCTTCTCTTCGCTAATTCAAGTTGCCCAAGTTTTAATTTAAATCCTTTATTTATGCTCATCAGGAAACACCGTAGGTGAATCTCAGGGAATTCTAGAACACCGTGCCGAAGTGTTAAATGGATCACAGCGTTTCACATCTCAAGTCCCAGTAGTAGGAAATTCACATAGTTTATTTCAAAGAATGGACAGAATCACCTCTTGGGACTGATGATAAATACAGTGGGTAAATTCACAAAATTTAGTTTCTGTTGTTACAGGTGACAGTCCTTTTATAGGCATCTAACTTTGTTTTGGGAAGGGGAGGCAGGGTGGTGTAGTGGTTAGGAGTGCAGACTGATGCCTCCATGCCTGGGCTTGAATCTCAGCCGTGTCACTTACTGACTGTGTGATCTTGGACAAGTTACTTAACGTCTCTGAGCCTTAGTTTCCTTATCTTTAAAGAGAAGGTTATGGTGGTACCTACATCATTGAGAGGTTGTTCCGGCCAAATCAATTAATCCATGTAAAAGTGGTAGGGGGCCGGCCCTGTGGCTGAGTGGTTAAGTTCGCACGCTCTGCTTCAGTGGCCCAGGGTTTTGCTGGTTCAGAACCTGGGCGCGGACATGGCACCACTCGTCAGGCCACGCTGAAGCGGCGTCCTACATGCCACAACTAGAAGGACCCACAACTGAAAATATACAACTATTTACTGGGGGGATTTGGGGGAGAAAAAGCAGGGGGAGAAAAAAGGAAGATTGGCGATAGTTGTTAGCTCAGGTGCCAATCTTTAAAAAAAAAACTGTTTAGAATGGTACAGATTCAAAATTCAGCTTGTTAAGCCTTTGTAAATTAAAATAAATACCACTCCTATCTAGAAATGGAAAGGCTTTATACTACTCAGGGAAGCAAAATTTAGATTAATACCAACATTATTTGCAAGTTCTCATAAAATATAAACATCGTCATTCTTAAATTCCTTCTATCTGTTTCTTATATTCCCAAAGATTAGCCGCAGTCAAGGTTTCTATCAGATTATGTAAGAGACGCCGTTAAAACAGGATCTATTTTCATTAGAATTAAAATTTAAAAAGAAGATTTTGAGTTATTATTTCCACAGAGTATGTTTTGATTCATTTTTTTCCATTTTTAATTTATATTTTGGTTTTGTAATACATTCACATGGCTCAATACTCGTAAATATGAGTGATAGATATTGATTTTAATTAGGTTTATAATTTAACTCCATGGCTTAAAACTATTATGACATCATTTTACTCATAAATGTAATTTTAAACTAAAATATTTCAAGTTTCCATTTTTATTTCAGATGAATTAAAAACGAAAACATAACCACCTCCTCTCCCAAGATATGAAAGCTTCCTTCATTCTTTCCTTCCCCCTCGTTCCCCGCCAAACCAACCTTCTTTAGTCTGGCATAGTATTGCTAATTGGTTATTAGAGAAAAGAACAAGGAATAGTCCAGTTTTCAATGATTTTCCAGTGACTTTCACCCCAAGTAAAAACTACTTCAGTGGCCCTTTGTCTTTAGAATAATTATCTTTTTAAAAAATAGAAAATCTATTATGGAAGTAAGTTTTTCAAGACAAATGGTTTCGGTGTATTTGTCAACATTCTAGCATCATTTTAAAAAATTGCAATCATCTGGGACATGAATAAGACTGTTGAATTTGTCCTGGTCCTCAATTATCAGCAATTGAGAATGCTGCCAACTGCTTTTTTCGTAACTTTTTATTTTGACACTTCAGACTTACAAAAAGTCGCAAGGATAGTACAAAATTCCTATGTACCCTCCCCAATTCTCCAGCTGTTAATATTTTACCAACTGTCATGAATACCCTATAAATACTCTATTACTCTTCAGATTTTCACCCACTAGTTTTAGCATCCATTGGTGATTCTTGCTTAATGATTTTCTTGGTATTCACCAGGATCACTTCATTATTTTCTGATTCCAGCATTCCTTCTACATTGTTTACTGCTTTCTACTGTAAGGAGAGCTTTTCTGTTCCCTCATCCGTTTGCTTGTTTCTTTATTTAGAAATCAATCCATGTAGACTCATGAACTCTTACTTTAATCAATAGGTTATACTCCTTTACCATCAATATTTATTTTTTTGTTCAAATTATTTCAGATTTTTCCAGCGGGAGCCCCTGCAAGCAGGCTCTTGTCCTCTTGACATGTTGCTATCATTCTTTGAACACTTCCTTATTTTCTGGCACAAGACTTTCTGGGCTTTTCTGGCACTTTCCCCATGTCAGCCCTGGTATCTGCCATTTCTTCAAAAGGCTTTGGTTCTTTTCGTGGTAAGTAGAAACAAGATCGGAGTTTTAGGTGCGCTCATTGCTTCTGGGGCATCACAGCTTTTAGGACTTCTCACTAGAGAGGGCATAGGAAATAGATGTTATGTCCAACACACATGTAGATACATTCACACCTATGTATACCTACACACCTACACACACCTTTATCTATTTCTCTACCTCTATCATGCATTCTTAATAACTCCAGTTCCAATCTGATGCCACATGGTTCATCCACTCTTTCCACATTTATAACTCCCTTCTGTGACAGTGAGAGCCCTGTCTCCCATTACCCATAATACATTTACTTATTTGTTGAATCCTAGAATATACAGGAATAGTTTAGAATTCCTAATCCATGCCTCTGAAGCAGAAGGAGGAGGAGGAGGAAGAGAAGAGGAAGAAGTTGTTTCCTAATTAGGGTGCATTATTTAAGAGTTATTTATCTTTAACCTGAGGGAATATAGTCCAAAAACTATACCCTGCAGATTTTGGATTTGTCAGCATAATTGCATGCACCAAGTCCTTCAAATAAACATTCCTCTCTCTCTATACACACACCCTGCTGGTTCTGTTTCTCTGGAGAACCTTGGCTAATACAGTTGTGAAACATTAACCTGGAGCCAAATGTTGGAACGGGACCCAAAGCTATACTTATACTCCCTCAGCTCCACTCCTTCTGTTCTGTCCACTCCTGTTCCACCCACCCTCCATAGGTACAAAATCTGATAATGCCTGGCTTATGTTCCTTTGGCTCAATTAGTAGATGCATGTGTATTTTCTTGTTCCTTTTTTCTTACACAAAGGTGGCGTCCTGTAGATACCCTTTTGCACTTTGTTTTCTTCATTTAACAGTATAGACATTCTGGGAACCACCACATCCGTCACAGAGATCCGTCTCATTCATTCAAAGCGCTGCATAGTGTGGTTGCCCCGAGGCTTATTTAACTACCTCCTATGCGTGGCCTACGAGCGGTTTCCTATATTTTGCAATTACCAACAATGCTGCTGTGATTAGCTTTGTTTATGTATATTTTTGGATCACTGGAGGTGTATCTTCATGTGAGTTCTTAGCTGTGGAATTGAAGCACATATATAGTTTTGCTAGATGTTGTCAAATTACCCTGCCTAAGGCTGGAACCAGTTTGCTTTCCCACAGCGATGTATGGAAAAATCTGTTCCCCACAGCCTGCCAACAGGGGATGTTGTCACACTGTTTAATTTTTCTTGGCCCAAAGGTAAGCAATCTCTAGTTTTAACTTGCATTTCTCAGGTTGAACATCTTTTCATATGTTTAAGGTCCATTTAAAACATTGTGTGACATAGCAACAGAGATTGGATTGGTGGTTACCAGGGGGGAAGGGAGGAGGGCGAAAGGGTGATTAGGCACACGTGTGTGGTGATGGATTGTAATTAGCCTATGGGTGGTGAACATGATGTAATCTATGCAGAATTCGAAATATATTACGATGTACACCTGAAATTTATGTAATGCTATAAACCAATGTTACTGCAATAAAAAAATAAAACATTGTATGATGTCAATTATACCTCAATAAAAACCAAACAAAAAACCATTGTGTGTGTGTGTACATGTGTAAGAATTTGATTATTTATGTCTTTTGTTCATTTTTCTATCAGGTGTTTTGATCCTTCTGTCTTCCGTTCAGAGTTCTTTATAAGTTAGGGAAATTGCGCTTTACATATGGCATAGGTAGCAAATATTTTTTCCTCCAGTTTTTCATTTGTCTTTCGATTTACAGTGTTTTTTTCCTCCCATGAAATTAAAAAAGAATTTCTGCGTAGTCAAATTTATCAGTCTTTTCTTTTATTGATTCTGGCTATTGTTAGAAAGCCTCTTTCTATACACAGGTTAAAGAGGAGTTTATGTATGTTTTCTTCTAGTACTTGTATGATTTCTTTCTTCTTTCTTTTCTTCCTTCCTCCCGCCCTCCCTTCTTTCCTTTCTTTCTATTGTTTACATTTGCATTGATTCATGTGAAGTTTATTCTCATATATGGTGTGAGGTATGGACTAATTTTATCTTTTTCCAGATGGTAAATGTGTCACCCCAGCACCACTTATTAAACAGTTCATTTCGGGGCCAGCCCAGTGGTGTATCGGTTAAGTTCACACGCTCTGCTTTGGTGGCCCGGGGTTTGCCAGTTGGGATCCCAGGTGTGGACCTACACACTGCTTATCAAGCCATGCTGTGGAGGGGTCTCACACACAAAGTAGAAAAAGATGGGCATGGATGTTAGCTCAAGGCCAGTCTTCCTCAGCAAAAAGAGAAGGATTGGCAGCAATGTTAGCTCAGGGCTAATCTTCCTAAAAAAAAAACAATTCATCTTTGCCTCAGCGATTTGAGATATCAGCTTTGTCACAAAGTTCCAAATGACCTTGGGTCTATTTATAGATGTTATAAGCCATTCCACTGGTCTGTTGACTCTTACAACAGTGCCACCTGCTTTAGTTATAAAGGCTTTATAACATGTGTTAATGTCTAGTAGCGCTGGTTCCATGGTGTAGCTCTTCTTTTTAAATGTTTCCTGACTTCTTACATGTTTATTTGTTCACATGAACTTTGTTTCTATTTGTCTAGCTCCATAAACAATGACTTGGTATTTTTATTAGCATAAGTTAATTTATGAATTAAATTTATGAAATAACTTAGAACTGATATCTTTATAAGGTTGAACAGTCCTATGCAAAACAGAGAATGTGTTTCCTTTTGTTCAAATCTACTTTTCTGTCATTTTGTGTTAAATTTTGCACATTTTGTGTTAAATTTATTCCCAAGTGGTGGTGGTTTTTTTTTCACTTTTGTTGATATGGTAAACAGGAGTTTCTCAACTATTATATTCTCTAACTTGTAATGTGTACATGAAGATTATTGTTTTTTTTGGTCTTTTGAAATTATATCCTGCTTCTTGACTGAATTCGTTTATTGTTTGACTTCTGAGTGCTTTTAAATAATTTTGTGTTTCCCTCTTGCCCCCAAAACTTGTTAGTCATCATAAAATCTGGACATCAGTGGTATAGTTGTAATGACTAATTTGAAGATCTTTTTCTGCCACATTTCAACCACAACTTGTGAAACTGGATAAATGAAACTTAAGAAATGTACATTTTAACATAGCATTCTCTCAAATCTTCATATTTAATTATGATAAAAATTGTAAAGTCCTAATTATGCAACAATGTTAAATCGTGGCTGCTATCTGGAAATGTGAGGTATACATCTTTCACATGGCTCCTTACAGATTTTTTAAGAAAAACTTTAACCATTGTTTACAAATACAAAGCAGATTATATTTGTGTGAATTTGAACCATTCAAAATTTTAGTAATGTATTGGGCAGAGGGTAGGGAGAAACCTTCATATATTTTTCAGATTTCACATTCCCAGAAGGCGGTAGACAAAGGTAGTTTAAAAAAAAAAAATCTAACCTTTTATGTGTTAGAATGTATTAACTAAGGATAGTACACAATTAAGCACCGAATTGTGTTGAAAACGCAAGTGCACATTTAGGAAAACTTGCCATAGTTTCGAAGCTTTCTGAGCTCCTATAATCATTTCAATTGCTTTTTAATCTCCCTATTTAAACTATTTATCTACATCCCAGTGAATGCAGTGGAAGCTTCTAATTAAGTGCATAGTGCTGGATTTATTTACACCAATTGCCTAAGTCTCGAAACCAAGTCACAGCAGGATCCAGAGGGGCAGTTACATCTCAGAAAATAAATACCATTACAGAATTTATCTCCATGTTTGCACAGAGTGTCTAGAAGTCAAATATTGAACAGAACATAAAAGAAGTGTGTGTACTTTGAGTAAGTCTTGAAGCTTAGCTCCTTTTTTTTGGCACCAGGGGCATTATTAGAGTTAATTCATTGAAAAAAAAGTCTCAATATATTCTTGTAGGTATTTCTGGTGAAATGAAGAAAAATTGGGTTATTGCTTAGAGCCAGTTGGTGATTTTGATAAAGTCAAATTAAATTAAATTAGATTAAAATTAAATTAGAGCCTTGAAGAACCAGAGTGTCAAAGAGAATAAATATTGATTCATTTGTTCATTTATTTATTCATTCAAATATCCTCTTCACATTTCTAGGTTCTGGCACTGGTTTAAGCAAAACACTAGGAATATAGCAATAAACAAAGTAAACAAAAATAAACAAAATAAACACGTGAAACTCTGTCCTCCTTGACATTATACTACATGATGATGGAATGAAATAGAGGAATGGTTAGCTGAAATGTTGGTGTCCAAGAACTATCAATAATCTGTCTGGACCTTAAGTAAAGTTCCAGGGTCTTTTGGGCAATATCCGTGGTTTAACAGGAAGGAAAGTCCATCCTCTTGGAACTACAAGTTTAAAGTAGCTTATGTAGGGGAGGAAGACATTTCTTCTACCTGCTCTGGGTCCTTCTGGCTGGAGAATGAATTAAATTCACATGAGACAGAATAGCAGGAGAAAATTAAACAAAGCTTTATACATCATCTGTATACATCATCTTACAGAGGTCAGGCAAGCTGAGCAACTCGCCAAAATGGCTGAAGCCCCCACCTTAAATATCATATTCAGCTAAAGACAAAGGAGGATGTTGGAGGTGGGAGGAGTCAGTTACACGAGGTTACCAGAAACAGGAATAAGATTATTATGCAGATTTAAGTCCTTGCATTCTGTATTGATAGGAGTTTCTAGAGATAAGGTCATCTCCTCTTCTTCCTGGTACAGAGAGGGAGACAACTTTACAGATGGAGATTTCCTTTACAATGTAAATGTCTCCTAACAAAGGGCAAGCAAGTTCCACTCCTCAGAGCCTCCTTCCCCTCTGCAGTTTATTAAAAGTAACCAGCCCCAAATAATCCTCATGACAAAGAGACATCTCTTGGGGTGGCCAATGCTGGTCCCCCACACTGAAAAGTGCCCAAGAGAGCACTGAATCCAATCCCCCACCGCTTCCATGACCTGAGACATGGTGATGTTAGCAACTTGACCACCATGTCAAAGGCAAGGCAAAGGCAAGACTTGAACCCAGATCTCCAATTCTCATCACAGGCTCCTGGGACTTCAGAATTGAAAAGGCCCCTGGACAGAATACAGTCCAAACTTATTACTTTCACAGATGATAACACTCAGGCTCAGGGAGGTTGAGAGATGGTTCATCACTGGCCCTACTTCTTAGCTCCGGTGAATTTCAGCTGACTTTCTTGTTTCTTAAATTGTATTTGGAGAGGTGGTAACCAATTATAGGATAAATAAAGTTCCTAAGAATGGTCCTGGTGCATAAAGGACATTTTCCACTCTCATCCTTAATTTTCTTTAGATAAGAGAAAAAGGGTTCATACTAGTAGCTATTACTCACAATGAACACAGGGGGTCTCCACTGCCATGTCTTGGCCTGACATTAGCTCAATCTTCCCTGAAAGCCTTATTACACCTAATTCTCGGAAGTCTAGTCTTATGACAGGGATTAAAAAAAATGGTTATTTACTGCTCTGGGAGCTCCATTTCACCAGGAATCAAACTTTGAGCTAATATTCACACTCTCATTTTGTCAGGAAGTGTAGGTTTGATGTGAGAGGTACTATCTAGGCAAATGTTCAACGATCAATAAATGGGAGCGATGAAAAAATGTGGAACACTGGCCCAGCCCCGTGGCTGAGTGGTTAAGTTCACATGCTCCACTTAGGCAGCCCAGGGTTTCGCTGGTTCAGATCCTGGGCGTGGACCCAGCACCACTCATCAGGCCATGCTGAGGCGGCGTCCCACATAGCACAACCAGAAGGACCTAGAACTAGAATATACAACCATGTACTGGGGGGCTTTGGGGAGAAGAAGAAGAAGAAGAAAAAGAAGATTGCCAACAGATGTTAGCTTGAAAAAAAATATGTGGAACATAATAACATTCCAAGAAAACTGATTTCCTGTCCTGTAGGAGGCCTTGGGTAAGCTAACAGCTCTGCTCCCAAGACGTCAGTTGGTGACACCATGGAAAAAAGGATTCACACAGAGAGGGGAGTGTGGAATAGGGGTTCTGTCCATGAATTCTTTAATCATGGGAACTAACGCGATTTGGGTGCCACTTTGCCCAGAAAGCTAAAAGAAAGAATTTTATTTTTCTTTTTTAGGGAGATTAGCCCTGAGCTAACATCTGCTGCCAATCCTCCTCTTTTTGCTGAGGAAGACTGGCCCTGAGCTAACATCGTGCCCATCTTCCTCTATTTTATGTGGGACGCCTTCCACAGCATGGCTTGCCAAGTGGTGCGATGTCTGCAGCCAGGATCTGGACTAGCAAACCCCGGGCTGCCAAGAAGCGGAACGTGAGCACTTAACTACTGCACCACCAGGCCAGCCCCTGTCTTTCTAATAAATTCACAGGTCTTTACCAGAGCCCACAGGCCTGCCTCACCTGGGACCACGACCTTCTCCGACTGCTCTGCTCCTTCTGCGTTCCATCCCCACCTGCCTTCATTCAGTTCCTCCAAGCATTCACCTGTCCTCTCCCATCCCCTTCACCTGGCTGGTCCCCTTTCAGCCTTCAGATTAAATGTCTCTTCCTTGGAGAGTCTCTCGCTTTATTCCCCCTCTAGGTACATTCCTATTATTCTCTGTCACTGGCCCCTGATTTCATCCATCATGAACTCATCACAGTTTCCGATTGTACTGTTTTTGTTGGTGTATCAGTTGACTGTCGGCCCCTCACTAAATTACAGGCTGACCTAGGGCAGGGGTACTGCCTGTTTCACTCACAGTGCATATGCACCTAGCACAGTGCTTTGTACATAGGAGACAATGCAGAATGGCTTCCTTGGGCTTAGGAAAGAAATAAATAATGGCGAATGGATGTGTGCTGTGAATAAGGGAAGTGGGTCTGGAGTCTTCACAAGCTGCGAGTTCTGCGAGTTCTCTAATCATTTATTTTAAAAAGTGAGGGGGGCCAGCACTGGTTAAGTGCACACGTTCTGCTTTGGCGGCCCGGGGTTCGCCAGTTTGGATCCTGGGTATGGACATGGCACCGCTTGGCAAGCCATGCTGTGGCAGGCATCGCATATACAAAGTAGTGGAAGATGGGCATGGATGTTAGCTCAGGGCCAGTCTTCCCTCAGCAAAAAGAGGAGGATTGGCAGCAGATGTTAGCTCAGGGCTAATCTTCCTCAAAAAAAAAAAAAAAAGTGAGGGATATCCTTGGCCTTGACTTTGGGGTTCTCTACTTGGCAGCTCTCAGAGAGAGCTTCTAATGAGTGAGTGTTTGGGACTAACTTGAATGGAAAAATAACTGACTTCCGGGCCTGGGGCCCGTGCGTGGTGCCAGGGGCAGAGAGGGAGAGCTCAGAATTCCCACTCTTCTCATGATCTTGGGGGAGATGTAGTCTGAGCCAGATCTTTGTTTTTGCCAAAGAAAGAGGTTCACAAACTTTAGTATCAACAAGAACAGTTAACTATTATTAAGTGCTTGCTATGTACCAGGTACCATGCTAAACGCTTCTCATGTGTCATTATTGTCATTAATCCTCACAAGAAAACTATGAGTTGTGTGCTAATGTTGTCTCCATTTACAGAAGAGGAAACTGAGGCACAGAGAAGTTAGGCATTCAGTCCAAGGTTGCAGAGCTAACAACTAGTGAGGCCAGGAGTAAAATCAAAGCCTTGGAGCAGAATCTGAGCTCGCAACTACTTCACTATAAGCCTTGAACAGACCTCCTGCATCAGCGTTTCCCCGGGCAGGGCTGGGCACTCTTACCTTCAGCATGTTCCCTCCGTGCAGCTAAAATTTGAGGTCCACTGGCTCTAGAGAGACGGGCCGGAGTTCTCGTGGCTTCCCACGGCCTCAGCAGGACTTTTCTCATTGGTGATGGGTTGGCCCTTCTCCTCAGTGAGACTCTGACCTGTGGCCAGGGTGGGGACTCCAGACCTCAGGCTGGAGGAGGAGGTGTGAACGCTGCATGCAGGTCAGGGAACCCGCTTCAGAAACTTACAAACGCTCAAAGGTTTGGCTGGAATAAATGCAGCTGCTGAGCTGGGAACGAAGAGGACAAGAACAAAGGAAAGCTTGACATCTGGACAATACGTGCGGGGGGCTGACAGGTATCCCTCATGGAAAGATAATGGACTTTGGAGCCAAGGTCACCCACATCTGAATGCCAGCTCTGCACTTCACTAGGAGGCGATCTTAACAAGTTCCTTAACCATTCTGAGTTTTGTTTCTCTCATCTACAAGAGAGATAAAAACTTATACAGAACAGCTGGAGCGATTTCGGTACTTCCTAAAATGTGCAACTAGAGAGGAAACAAGCATGGACCAAGTGTGACCAGAGACAAAACCATGTGACTGGAGAGGAAAAGAATGTGGTTTAAGAAAACAGATGAAGAGGGGGATGAGCCGGCCCAGAAAACCTCCCTGGTGAAGGAATTCTTGGCAGTTGTTTGCATCGCCCAAGTCGTAAAACACTAGATCAAAAGGGCAGAATGTTTGTTTTAAAGATAAGATTAACAGCCAGTATTGATTACCTATTAACACCGTTTTAAGAATACAGAGCCATACTAGAAAAAAGGCAACATGTAACTAGAGATTTAGGATGGCATAATATTACAAGGACAGAAATGAGAAAGCAAGGACCTGATCTCTTTCGACAGAAGAGGAGAAAATATTCTTTCACACAAATTTCTGAATGTAGGGGACAGCTTGCTGACATTTTCTCATGTGACAATCTCTGCCTTTGCAGATCCAGCAAACAGCCACATGCAATCACATTAATTACCCTAAAGGACCTTGAATCATGTGCGCTCAAGTGCTGCTTGTGTGTGCACATTACTAATGTGCTTCTTTCTTGAGTTTTGTGTGAAACTCGAGTGTGGCTTGTACTGCTGGGGACAAGCTTGCAGGAGCCGTGAAACTACCATGCCATCCTGCTCAGTTCTCTCCACTACTTTGAAACACATTTTTAAGAAGGCACGTTTAAACATGCTTCGGAAAAGGTATTTTGGTCAGTGAGTCTTTAAGGCAGCTTTTTTATAAAGTTAATACTAATTCAAATTTACTACTAGTAGTAATAAGAGCTATCATTATTGAGCACTGACTTTTTAATCCTGCCAGCATCATTAGGAGGCATAGGAATTATTATCTCCATTTTAAAGAGGAGGACATTGAGGCACAATGAGGTTAAGCATCTTGCCCAAAGTCACACGGCTGGTGGGAGGAGAGGCCGGACCAGCACTGCAGAAACTCGTCTGCTCCTGTAAGACAATCCCAACACTCAGCACAGGTCTATGGGGCCACATGACCCTGGGCAGAGGTTAGCTCTCAGCCCTTTCCCTGTCCCTACTCATTTGCAGGCTAGGTAATTCTGATTGTTCTCCACTGTCCTCTCCACTCCCTGCTCTGGATTTTGAGTCATTGGGCTCGAGGTTCAGGCCTTGCCCAATACATACATTTACCTAGTGACTCTGCACATTCTCAGCCTTCACATGGCCAGAATGCACAAACACACAGAATTACATGGGGAGTCCAACTCAAAGCCACAAAACCAAAGATTGTTGCTTATCAGTAGCCCCAGAGCTAATGAATCTGATTGATGTTGAAATTTAAATATCAACTAAGGAGTTCATATTCCACTGGAGGCTGGCAATGTATGATGCCCACGTGCTGTCAAGCTTGGGACCAAACTGAAGGGCTCTCAGTAGGCAGATGTCTCCTCCTCCCCAGCTATAAATCTGGCCCCCAGACCTGACATCTACATCTTGGGCGATTCATCAGCATCACCAGTGGAGATGCGGAGCAGCCATAAGAACTTCCTGGGGTGTGGCAATCGTTTGAGCATTCAGAATTCCAAAGAGGAGATGAGTAGTGAGGAGACAGTAGCAAAGTTGGACAAAAGCCGGATGCGGCAGTTGGAATGATGCCAATCCTTTTAAATCAAGACCCAGCGTGGCCAAGGCAAGTCTGTGACAAATCAAAGGTGGGTCCTCACATGTGAAAATGTTCTGACGGCTACGAGGGCTCTCAGCCTGACTTGGCTCCCACGATGCTGACACATTCTGCATTTTTAATGGTGATCGTAACTGGCCGCCAATATCAAGATATCAAGGTGGATCTGCCTTCTTTTTTCTTTTTGGTGTAGCAGTGATAAGCATCAGCCTGCTTTGTTGAAGTATCTCGTATTTGACAAGACCAACAGAATGAGAAACCTGGGAGTGGCCCCTTCCCATTCCGTTTATCTCTAGTTAGCCTTTAACCAGATTACCATTATGATTGGAAAGAAAGACCTTGCACGCTTCCGGACAAATCTTGTTTGATGACCTGAGTAAGTCTTGTTTATTTGCAGATTTCAAAGATTACTGTTCAGAATTCAACAGCCATCAGGAAGCACTTTGCATAATCACACACACACACACACAAATGTACACTTCGCACCCTTTCCCTTTTTAAAGACAGTCTGGTATTTGCAGTGTGACCAAATAACATTTGAATAGTGGTAATTAGCATATATGTCATCTGGATAGATGCCATTAAACCTCTAAGGCAGAGATGCAGGTAACTGCAGAGAGATTTGTCTCATTCTTTAAAATTTCACATTCTCAGGGTCTGCCATGTCTCCACGAATCCTTCAGTAAGTCAAGAAGAGACAGTAGGGGCTGGCCCAGTGGCACAGCGGTTAAGTTCGCACGTTCTGCTTCGCCGGTTCGGATCCCGGGTGCACACATGGCACTGCTTGGCAAGCCATGCCGTGGTAGGCGTCCCACATATAAAGTAGAGGAAGATGGGCACGGATGTTAGCTCAGGGCCAGTCTTCCTCAGCAAAAAGAGAAGGATTGGCAGCAGATGTTAGCTCAGGGCTAATCTTCCTCAAAAAATAAAAACCAAAACAAACAAAAGAAATGCAAACTTGCAAGTTCATGTACTACTTCCTTGGTGATTGATTTCAATTAGCAATAAAAGCTGTAATCTAAACGAACAGAATCCTTGTGGAATTTTCGCCTCCACTGGGGATGTGTATCTGTGTGTGTATGTGTGTGTGCGCGTGCGTGTATGCATGCACAGGTGCACACATGCATGTCTGTGAATTAAGTCACACAAACACTCTGAATTTCTTGGCCAGATTACTAGTTTCTTCTCAAATCTCAAAAAGTACGTTTATAGTCCCACCCGACTGGGCATTGAGCTGTTTGAACAATTCCTTCTGGCATGGTGTCCCCATGCCCTGCAGCCAAATACCTTCTCAAGTTAATCTCCTTCGAGCACAGCTTTGTTCCAGCCACACACTAACCCTTTCCAGTGCCGCACCTCCCCACATCCTCACCCTGACTAAAGAACCTTCAATAGATCCTCATTGTCCAAAACTAAAACATGAATTATTTGACTGGCATTAATGCCCTTCAAAAATTGGTCCAAACACACCAGCAGCTTTAATACACCCGCTATCTCAACTCACACCACATCCCAGCTGAACTAGGGAGTGAGCGTGAAGAGAAGAGAGGTCCAAACATCGAGCCTAGGTGTGCCAACGCTTAGAGGATTGGAAGATGAGGCGGCTTTAGCAAAGGCGAAATGACATGGCCAGTGAAGTAGAAGGAGGGCTGAGAGAGTGGTGTCCTGGAGGCCAAGTAAACAGTGTTTCCTGGAGGAGGTCGTGAGCAGTTTGGTTAATTGCTACTGATGGATGGAGCGAGATGAAGATTGAGTGCTACCCACTGGGTCGGGCAATATGAGCTCATTGGTGATCCGCATAAAAGCAGCTTGGTGGGGGCAAAATCATAATGGGAGTGGGTTCAAAATAATGTGGGGTGAAGGGATATGAAGACAGGGAGTAAGAGTTGTTTGAGACATTACTAGAAAAGGGAGCAGAGACATAGGGTGACAGCTAGAAGGGAACATGTGGCCAAAGGAAGTCTTGTTCTGTAAAGATGGAGGGTATTACTGCATGTTTCAACACTACGTAGGAATGTCCTGTAGAAAGGAAGTGATAACGAAGGAGAGTGTGGCAATTGCAGAACGAGATCCTTGCCTCCATGAGAGAGGGTGGGACCTTGTGCTCAAGTGGAGGGGTCCAGACAGGCCATCGTGGTGGTAACAGGATGGATGAGAAAGTGGGAGAGGTGGGAGAAGTTGGGAAGGCTGGAGCATTTGGTGTTTTAAGGATGAGGAAGTTCTCTTTTGATTACTTCTACTTTCTCAGTTGATGGTCTAGTGGCTAAGATTTGGCGCTCTTGCCGTGACCCGGGTTCGTTTCCCGGTCGGGGAACCATACCCCCCGTCTGTTGGTTGTCACACTGTGGCAGCTGCATGTTGCTGTGATGCTGAAAGCTATGCCACCGGGATTTCAAATACCAGCAGGTCACCCATGGTGGACAGGTTTCAGTGGAGCTTCCAGACTAAGACATACTGGGAAGAAGGACCTGGCCACACACTTCTGAAAAAATTGGCCATGAAAACCCTGTGAATAGCAGCAGAGCATTGTCTGATCTGGCACTGGAAGATAGTACAAAAAGATGCTTTGCTGTGCACAGAGGCGCTGGGAGTCAGAATCAACGGGACCGCACTAATAACAAAAATATTCTCAGAGGAATAATAAGCTGCAAGGGAGGAAAGGGGAGGAAGCAGAGAAGTATGAGGAGAGAAGGCAGAAAACAGTCCTTTAGGAGAGAGAGGAAAGTTGACTGGGGGAATGTGGTGAGCTGCCAGTTGGCCCTAAGGGCTATTTAGATCTCTGGGCAGGAATTTGAAGTGAGACCAGCTAGCACAGTGGTGAGTTTTCTCCAGCTAAATTCAGCTGGAACTTTGTTAATATTGAAATTTATTCTTAATTCAAGAGTTACTTGGGTTGTTTATTGCTGGTGGGAATGTGTACCAGTATAAACTGGTACAATCTTGCTTGATGGATATATAGATAGAAAGGAGGCCTTAAAAAGGTTTACTCTTTAAATCGGTAATTGAATCTTATGAATTTATCTTGATGTAACAATAAGATCAGACAAAAATTTTATGTATACAGGCTTTCCACAGTAATATTCATAAAATAACAACTGGAAACAATCTCAGTATTTAGTCATAAGGACTTAAATTCCAGGAATTTCATTCTGTATCAATAAGGAAATAGAATACGAATAGCCCAAGAATGGACTATTTATATGTCCTTTAAATATTGTGTTTGTTTTTTATTTTTTACTAGAAGTTGATACTGAGAAATTCTCAGAAAATAAAATTAAGTAAAAAAATCCATTGCAACCATCTTGGTTGAAGTCATCTTATCATCTCTTACTTGAAATATTGCAAAGGCCTTTTAAACAAGTCTCCCCATCTCCTCTCTTATCTGCCACCTATTCTATTCTCCGTACCACAGCAAACGGGATTGTTAATAAACATCTTCAAAACATGATTTTGATACTTCTCTGCTTGTAAGGTTTAAATGGGCTCATTTTTTTTTTTTTCTTGGTAAGGAAGATTGGCCCTGAACTAACATCTGTGCCAATTTTCCTCTCTATTTTGTAGGTGGGATGCCACCACAGCATGGCTTGATGCGCAGTGTGCAGGTCTGCACCCAGGATCCAAACCCACAAACCCTGGGCCGCTGAAGTGGAGAGAGCAGACTTAACCACTACACCACCAGGCCAGCCCCTAAATGGGTTCCTATTTCTTGATCTCATATTCCAAATCCTTATCGCAACTTCCAAAGTCCTGTGTGATCTACCCCCTCCCCACACTCAAGCTTTCTTGCTCCAATATTCTGCAGCTTCCCCTGCACCAGGCCTCTTGCACAAGTGTGTGCTCTTTCCTCTGCTTCAATTGCTCTCCTCATCTCCCATGTGCTCCAGGCCCACTTAACTCCTACTCATTCCCCAGGTCTCACCTTATACCTCTCTTCCCTGACTCACTTATGTCCCGAATCAAACTGTGACAATACAAACTAGTTCAAGCAACCACAAAATCCAGGGTTAGTTTTGGGCTTCACCAGGACACAAAAAGTGTCACCAGGACTTGATTATCTCTTTGCCTCCTGGCTCCATTTCTTTGGTGTTGGCTTAAAAAAGGAGCTCATCCTTCATGGTGCCAAGAAGGCTGCAGTGGCTTCAGCTTCCTCCTTCACCTTCAAGCCTAGTAGGAAGAGTGTAATTCTCCAAGAGGATTCCAAAAAATGTCCCAGAATTTAGTCTTGTTGGTGTGGGTCACTTGACTCCAAGCATATGCTTATTTTAGAACCATTGTTGCTGTGGGAAAGCAGTGCTCTGATTGGCCAGGACTCAGTCATGTGCCACACCTAAGGCTAAGAGTTCATGTGTGGGTTCCGTCCCTAAAGCCAAACTGGGATTATAGGAAGCAGGGGGAATGGGACCTGGGGAGGCAAACAACAAATATCCCCCAGGAATTTTTTTACCACATGTTTGCATTGCACCTTACCCTCCCCTTTCATAGCATTTGTGATAATTACACATTATGTAAGTTACAATTTATTTAATATTCATCTTCCCTATAACACTGTACACTCACCTTGAGAGGGACCATGTCTCCTTTTTCACTGTTCTATGCCCAGTAGCCAGCACAGTTCTTGGCACAGACTAGATGCTCAATTAATATTTGTTCAATAACATGTTATGAAAAAAATAAAACAGTAGAATATGAAACAGTCCATATGGTAGGAGTCCAATTTTTGTTTTAAAAACTAAATCTCTTTCTCTCTCCTCTTCTGTGTCTACAGAGTACAGATCTGAAAGGAAATACAACAAATACAAGTGGTTATTTCTTGACAGTAGAATTGAGTGGGGTTTTAAAACAACACTTCACTGTATTTTCCAGATCTACCATGAAGCTCCATTATTTTATTTATTTATTTTTTTTAAAGATTGGCACCTGAGCTAACAACTGTTGCCAGTCTTCTTTTTTTTCTTCTGATTTTTCTCCCCAACCCCCCCAGCACATAGTTGTATATTTTGGTTGTGGGTCTTTCTAGTTGTGGCATGCGAGATGCCACCTCAGCGTGGCCTAATGAGCGGTGCCAGGTCTGTGCCCAGGATCCGAACCAGCAAAAGCCTGGGCCGCAGAAGCGGAGCGTGCGAAGTTAACAACTGACCATGGGGCCGGGTCCTACATTATTTTTTAATTGAAAATTTTCTGAAAAAATTCTTTAGAAATATACCAGACAAAGTTCCTACATTTGGAATTAAAATGTCGTGTTTTAAGGGGTTTTCTAAAGAACAAAAGGACTCAAACCAAAAGTTTCCACAAGATGAGATGAATTCCTGAACACTGCAGAAGGGATTAATGGAGATGTTTATTACTTAAGACATTAACAGGCACCGAGGAACAGCAGGGCCAGGTTTGGATCAAATATGTGTGCTGCTGTGGAGGCCTTGCATAAGCTGGCTTTGAAATTGGCCTCTCCTTTGCTTAAAAAAGCATTTTTTTAAACTCATAGCTTGATCTCTCTCAATTTCTAGAATGTTAGTATTTTAGTTTATGGACTATCATCATTTTACCTAATTATCATGTCCCTAATTTGCAATGCCCCCCGCCACACCCTCCCTCGCCCTGCAGACTGGATGACGCTGTTATGGCATTCTCCATTATGTTCTGTTACTATGTAGTTAAGGAGAGAGCTGAGAAGTGAAACTCACAAATTGAGTTGACCTAATACCAGGGCACTGTGTTGTGAGTTTATGTACACACACAGGATTGCATGCCCCAGCTCAGAGATGACCTCATTTGAAACACATAATCCTCTGCACCCTGGCTTCTGCCTATGACAGCAGATTTTGAACTTAAAGACCCTGTCAGGATGGGCCCAGGGAACCTCTCTTTGCAGTGGAGCATCCTGAGCTCCAGGGCCTCCAGGTCATCCCTAGGGTTGGCCTCATTGTTGGTGGACCTGACGTGGAGTTCAGAAGGGAGCAAAGATGGAATAGGGAAGTCAAGACTCAAAAGTGCAAGTTATTCCTCTGAGACACGTGGGTGTTCTGAATAAACATTGCTTAACGCCGGCTGTTGTGTCCTGAATGGGTCTGCCAGGTTGAGGCTTCAGCGGGAAGCAGCTGGGGCCTTGTGCCTTGATTCCAGGATTAGCCCTGCCTCTCTAGCTGTCTGTGTCTGCTATGGCCTCACTGCCTCTGAGTCTCAGGCTCTTGTCTGTACAATGGGCACAGCACCTCCTCTCTTACAGGTTGTCTTGAAGGCCAGATAAGATAACCTCTGTGAAGCGGCCAGCCCTGTGGGTGATTTTGGGTGTCGTGTGAGAATCTGGAGGGAAGAACATTAGGGGGCAAAAGCCCAAGAGGCGTCCACTGCCCATCTCAGCAAGGTCGTGAGGGAAGCCAAAGGATGCTGGGAGTTTTTAAATTAAACTTCTCTCAGGCTCTAATCAAACTTTCCCTCTCACACGGGCCACACAGGAAGGGAACTTTTCCTGCTTTAGTCTTACTTAGCTGTCATGACAAGAGCACTGAGATTTCTTTAGCTTTAAAACTCACCTTTACTATTCCCATCCCTTTGCACTAGCAATAAAACCCTTAAAGGGGAAGGCTCCTGGCGGCTTTCATAGGATCAGCAAGGTGGGTGGGATGGGGCTGGGCCCTGCCCTGAAGTCAGAACGGAGGAGGAGAGGCACAAAGGTTAGACTCTAGCTAGGTAAAGCCAAAAGGGCCGAGACAGGGAGAAGATACGCCCAGGGGAGAGAACTGGGAGTCTAGAAAGCAGCCCTCCTGGGGCCGGCCTGGGGGTGAAGTGATTGAGCTCACATGTTCTGCGGGCCACCGGTTTGGATCCTGCTTGTCAAGCCATACTGTGGTAGGCGTCCCACATATAAAGTAGAGGAAGATGGGCACGGATGTGAGCTCAGGGCCATTCTTCCTCAGCAAAAAGAGGAGGATTGGCAGCAGATGTTAGCTCAGGGCTAATCTTCCTCAAAAAAAAAAAAAAAAAGCAAGCAGCTCTCCTCAATTCATAGTAAGTTGTAGATCATCTGTCAGGGGCCAAAGTCACCTCTAGTGTGGGGTTTAATTCTTAAAGCCTCCTCCAGGGCCCTCTGACAGATGCCATACACTGGGAGTGGAAGCCAACAGGAGGTGGGTAGGCCACCCAGGCACTGAGCTTTTTGAGAACTTTGAGGAAGCAGGCATTGCTGTCTTGAGGGTTTTTAGTGTGTGTACATGATGCCTTAAGGTAGAGAAGACCATGGCCTTCTGGCTCCCGTCACCTCTCCCACCTCCTCTCACTCAACGCCAGCCACAGAAGCCATCGTTGGAAAAGGACTAGTTTTCTTTTAGAGCACTGGCTTCTCATCTCCAGGCCTCCTGTCAGCTCCTCAGGGGGCAGCCTTCCCTGGACCCCCAGGTAATTAACGTAGCTGCCTCTGTGTCTACCCCAGCAACCTACACTCATCTCCTTTGTAACCTTCTCAGCTACTTAGCACTCAGCTTATGCTGTCATGATTTATTTATTTGTTGATCATTTGTGGTCCCACAAAAGACCACAAGCTTCAGAAGAAAGACGGCTTGTTTGTTCCCAGCTGGATCCCCCAAGCCCCTCTGTAGGGCTTGGCACAGAGTAAGCACTGATAAATGTGGCATCAATGCATGGGTGGATAGCGGCGTCCCTTATTTCCGGCCACCTGAGCCCGCCCACGCCCCACCCACGGTATACAGTGTGATCCTTGGAAGGAATTTCACCAATTTTGGCTTCCAGGGACCACCCAGACAAAGGTGCTTAATATTTTTAGGGTCACGGATCTCTTTAGGGATCTGATAAAACCAACCGACTCTCCCCAAAGAACATAAATACGCACTCAAAACTCTGCTTACCACTTGGGGGTTTGGTGACCCTTAAAGCCCCAGGTAAAAACTCTATAGACTTACAAAAATCAAGGAGAGAAGAGAGATTGGAGACCTGAGGCCACAGTCTTAGGAGAGACCTCTTAAAACCGGACCTGCTTGAAGTGATCTGTCTTTGGATTGCATTTACATATATAATCTATCTATATATAAAGGAAATCGGAGGCAAGAAATCGCTTCTAGTTCCGGCTTTGCCAAACGCTCCCTGTCTATGCGGTTTAGGACAAGACAGCCTCCGATACTTGCCGCAAGTGTTTCGGGAAATCTCTGCCAGGTCTGCTGAAAGTTTGTGGAATGAATGAATGACACGTTCGCGCGGCGGCAGCCGGAAAGCAGCTCCCTGGCGCTCCCGGCGCAGGGCTGCCGGCCACCGGCCGCGCGCAGACGAGGCGCAGGTGCAGAGGAGAGCAGGTGCATTCGCACCTGGAGCCGCCAGCGTGGCGTGGAGCGGCGCGGCGCTGGGGGCGGGCCGGGGCGAGGGGGAGGAGTGAGAGACGGGGAGAGAAGAAGAAGAGAGGGGGAAAGAGAAAGAAGAGGAGGAGAGAAGAGAGGGAGGAAGAAGGGGGAGGAAGGAGGAGGAATGGGAGGAGCGGGAGGGGAGGGGCGCGGGGAGGAGTCTGCAAACTTTCGCTTCGAGGGCATTGTGGGAAGCAGCCATGGTCTGAGGCGGGCGCCTCACCTGTCACCCGCGCCGGCTCCTGCGCTCGGCTCTCGCCCTCGTGTCCACTGCTCTCGCCACTCGCCGGGCGGGGGCGGCGACGGCCCGGCCACCATGGTGAGTGCGGGCGCGCGGGGCGGCGGCGCTGACCCGGGGATTGCGAGCTCCCCGGAGGCACCTGCGGCGCCGGGGCCGGGCGCGCCGCCGGGTATGGGAGCGGCCCCGCCCCGCCCCTCGGGGTCCCCCGGCCTGCGCGCATCTGTGGCCCCAGGGCCAGGACGGTGAGGACGCGCCGGGGCGCCAGGGACGCCAGCTTGGGACTCTAGCGGCCACCGGGCGCCGCTGCTTCATTCATTCGACTGGAGGAGTGAACAGGCAACTCAACAGAGCGGGCATGCAGGGAAAGCCTCTGAGGAGGGGAAGTCTGAGCTCTTGGAGGTCCTGGAAGAGCATTGCAGGTGGTGGGAACAGAGAGCGCAAAGGCCAGAGAGAAGAGACCCTTGCTCGTTCCAGGAAAGATAAGGCAGGGGCCTGTTGAGGCAGGTCCTTATAAGCCGAGTCAAGGAGTTTGGTTTTTATTGCAACCAAGTGGGGAAACGCCTGGGAGGGTTTTAGCAAGAGAATTGACCCCATGCCTTCTATATATGTAACAGATCCCTGTTGGTGGAGAGCAGACTGGGGTTCGTGTGCATGAGGAGGGGTGTCAAAATGGAAACAAGGTGACTAGTTGCAGTGCTCCAGGTGAGAGATCCTGGGGACACCCACTTGGCTGGAAGCAGTAGCCTAGGTGCTTCTTGCTCTTCCCTTCTGTCCAGGGGTAGCGTTTTGAGAGTGCAGTGGCCTGAACTGCACCGGTCCCCCTTCCCCAGGTGAGCTCACTTCTCAAGTCCGAGGAGCAACAGAAGTGACCCGCACTCTCTGGGTTTGAGTGCCCATCGCAGGCTGGAGCAGGAGGGTCGTGGGAGTTAAGAAAGTTGATGGGCAAGGAGGGCAGTGAAGTGCTGAGCCCCTGGACATGAAGAGCACAGGTGGCGGTTCTAGGAGACGTTAGGCTGCATAGACTAGAGGCGCCATTGCTTGTTGAAGGTTCCTTGTAAATACAGCATGCTGCAAAAAGGAGGCTGTAAATAATGGAGCAGCTCTCTTGGCTTGCTCAGGTTTCCCAAGGAACAGGTGATGGTGTGCAGCCAGCCAGCATCATTTGCCTAACAGAGGGTGGAATAAGGCCCTGGAGTTCTGAGGAGCGAAAGACTGCTTCCTTCCTGAGAGCTGCGGCAGGGTCCTTGCTCTAGACGACACCTGCTGTGAAGTTTTATTTTTTCTTGCTGGTGTCACATAATCAGTTCATCAGGAGTGTGGGAAGTTTCCCTAGCCTTTCCACCAGGCTTTGCCCAACGGGAAATATTAATGTTATTGAGCACGTGTGGTAGGCCAAGCAGATGCTGGCACCTTTGCATTCATGATCTCAGTCAATCCTGGCAACAACCAGATGAGGGGAAGAAGTATGCTCTTTGCATTTTCCCTGCTCTGACCTGTTCTAGCAGTATGTCCTTGGACAATTCCTTGACCTCTCTCCGTGCCTGTTTGCTCATTTGTAAAATGGAGATAATGATAGTTCCAAACTCGTAAGGCAGGGGTTCTCAAAGTATGGTCTGGGTACCCTTAGGAGTCCCTAAGACTTCAGAGGTCACCAAGGCCTGTTTTCACAGTAGCACTGTGATATAATTTGCCCTTTTCACATTCATTCCCACATGACTGTATGTGGAGTTTTATTTCTTTCTTTCTTTTTTTTTGGCAGGGAGAGATTTGCCCTGAGCTAACATCTGTTGTCAGTCTTTCTCTTTTTTTTTTCCCCTCCCCAAAGCCCCAGTGTGTGATTGTATATCCTAGTTACAAGTCCTTCTACTTCTTTGTGAGCCGCTGCCACAGCATGGCACCTGATGGATGGGTGGTGTGGTTTTGTGACCAAGAAATGAACCCAGGCTGCCAAAGCCGTGAGTGCCAAACTTTAGCCACTGGGCCATCAAGGCTGGCTCAAGTTTTCTTGAGGCTAACACAACCTGTGATAGTGCAACAAGTTGGATGCAGAAGCAGCTAGGAGAGTCCAGCTGTCTTCCACTGAGCCATACATTAAGGAGATTTGCAAAAAAGTAAAACAATGCCCCTTTTCCCACTAATTTTTTTTTTTTTTGCTTTGGGAAATATTGTTACTGTTCATTAAGTTATTTCTGTTCATGTGTAATAGCTTTCTTATTTTTTAAAATGAATTGGTAAATATCTAAAATTTTTCTCCCTGTAAGTATGTATTATAGTAAGTATCAATAGATACAATCTATATAAATGAAAGGTCTTTGGGGCTGTCTGGTTGTAAGAGTGTAAGGGAGGCACAGACAGGGCCTGTGAATTAATGTGGTTGAAGGCCGTCAGAGCAGCTTTGCCCACTGTAGCTGCTCAGTGGCTGTGACATCTCATCCATTGTTACTGTCACATGTTAACTTTTACTCTAAGAAACTGGGAGATGCTCACAGCATCCCATGTGGTATCCACACTCAGGAAGTCATTCTCGGTCCTGTTGTGTCAGTGATCCAGGTTTCTAGTGCAGAGATTTCATACCTTGTGCATCTTGGGCCTGTGTCTGTATCTGGCTCATACTGTTTGAATCAGCTTTGTTCTTCTGCGCCCTGCCTTTGTTTTAGAAATCTCTGCCTTGGAAAACAATGCTAGGGTTATCGTGTTTCAGGGATCCCCAAAGGCTCTGAGCCCAGTGCACTTAAACATCTTACTGGGAAGGATTTACTATTGAATGGTTGACAATGTTGATGGAAAAAGGAGGATTTGTTTTTTATTTGTTCCTTTTTTTTTCCCCCTGTAAGAAGATAGCAGTGAGTACTTTCAGGGTGAAGTTTGAAAGGCTTTTGGGACATCTTTAATAAAAATGCAAGTGGGTTTTGCTTTATGCAATCCACATGCTTCTGAAAAGTTAAGGTAACTTTTACAACCACATTGTGAACAAAATAGGGGAATTACCCACTGAAAGAAACTCACATAGCGACCCCTTTTGAAATATGAGTAATCGTCTTCTTGTGTTGCACATATGCCATTCTCATAATGTGAGATAGGTAGGCTTATGCTAAAAAAAATCAGAGATTTTTTTGGGCGTGATTTTAAATCTTTAGAGAGAGAACAACCTTCCCAAGCTGAACTATGAAGCCATTTCTTTATCAGAATTCCTGCTAGTTTGAAACAGCATGAGTGCATCCTTTTCCTACATCCGTAATTCAAAGTTTCCCATGTTCATCAAAATCTCACTGTATTACGTAGAAATAGGAGAGATGAAGGCATTGCAGAAGGTGCCGGGGAGAACTCTAACTATGAACTTGTCGATCCTGCCATGACCCCCCCTCCCCACCCAGTAGTTCAATTTTATTGGCCGAGGCATAAGTGAATTGTAGTAAGTGTGTGATGATTTTGCAGTTTAAATTCCACTTTGAGGGGGAAGTAGTCTATTATAGTAATGAGCGCCTTCCTCCGCTGAGCTTGGTCTGGGCTGCTGGCCCAGGTTAGTATGATGTGGAGAGGTTAGGGATGGGGGGGGGAAATGACCCTTTGTGGTGTTCAGTTGTCCCCAGAGCCTTCACCCACAACAGGCCCTTCCCACAGGTTTCCCAACAACCCCATCGAGACTTGTATTTACCCCTTGCCAGGATTGTCAACTTCTGAGTTCCCATTTCTGGTTTTTGTGGCAAATGCTGTCAACAGCTTGCCACTCTTATATGGCGTTTTACTGACCACAGCTGGAAGGAGATGGTCAGCAGACTGTGTCTTTGCCACACTGTATTTTCAATGTCTATCCTTTTGGGTCCCATGAATTATTCCATTATGGACAGAAATAATAGATAAAGGTCCCCCCCCCCCCCAAACACACAAAGAAAACCCCTTTAGGAGTCCCCAAAGATAAGCATTGCTTGACATCTCCGTGAATCTTTCTTTCGATTTTATTTTGTTGTTCTTGTAGCCAGAGGTTCTCCCAGAGAGCTTCACTTCTGAGACCGTACTGGGGTTGCTCTGTCCCTTGGGAAGTCTCCCTTCCTGGTATATTTGTTCTTCTCTGATGGAATTCTTTGTTTTCTCTGAAGACTCCTAGCTGTTTACCCAGACGAAACTCTCTTTCCACCATTTGAAGCCCCCAGATCCTGTGCTGGGAAAGAATGTACACAGAAACCAGAGGCGTCCGCATGCCCCTAAAATTCTGCCAGTGGTGTGCTCAGCTGTCTTGCCAGCACCCTGAGTAGCTAGAGAAAATGTGCTTATTGCATGGCTGCTAAGAGCATGGAAAGGGTGTACTGTAAATTAAGTTAGAAATAGACCATCAGGAGGAAGCTGGCCTTTGACAAATCTCCGACACAGTCCCATATCTGAAAACTGCCCTATAGGCAGAGCTGGGTTCTCTAAATAGTTTCTGAGCATTGCCTGGGGAAAAATAATACAATCGCTCGTTAGGCTCTCGGTGTGATGGGCTGTGGACCTGAAGTACAGTGAAGAATAAGGGCATTTGGGATTCCAGTTTTGATGTCCTTGTTGGATCTCCTCTAGCAGGACTTCTGGGCTGGTAAGAAATGATGGGTACGTGGCGAGGCTCATTGGACACTCAAATGCTACTGAAGCCTTCCTTCCACACTGGCCCTGTTGAGGGGCAGGAACTAAGGCCGGGGTTGCAAAGTGGGGTGCTTGTGCTTTTTGTATACTACAGGGCTCTCTTGTGGAGGGGCAACCTCAGGGGAATAAACACACTCATCCAGATCATTTTATTTTTTATCTATTTATTTTTTTGCGAGGAAGATTCGCCCTGAGCTAGCATCTGTGCCAATCTTCCTCTGCTTTGTATGTGGGATGCCTCCACAGCATGGCTGATGAGTGGAGTAGGTCCACACCCGGGATCCGAACCTGAGAACCTCAGGCCGCTGAAGCAGAGTGCACAGAACTTTAACCACTTGGTCATGGGGCCAGTGGTTAGATTAATTTTAGATTAAATTTTTTTTGCATTAAAACATGAAATATATTTGAGTCCAAGATGCAAAATTCACCTAAGACTTAAAGATAAAAACCTGACAAATAGC